GTCACATTCTAATGACTTTCAAAGGCCAAAATATGGTAAAAATCACTTAAATTATCCATCCCTTCCATGCTTTAGTTTAACAGGTAGGCTTTATATTTTGACATTTCTATATTTTATATGTTATGTGCCTGTCTTATAAACCCGCTAAACATATACAAAAGACCACAGATTTAATAGCTTCTCTTCTCATAAAGAAATGTCAACATTTCATCTAGTTATCAGGATATGACCCTGCTATGTTTCCTACCATTTGATAAGGAACAAGTTCATACTCTTTTAGCTTGTGATCTTGATTGGCAAGTAGCAATGGCTGACTTTATTGGTAATATCAGCTTCCATTTACCAGCCTCTAAGCTCCTAAACTTTTTACAAACTAAGCCTGTTAAATTTGTATCTATTGTCTCTAAGCTTTTGTTTCATGCCACCATGTCTTTACAAATGGTTCAGAAAAAACTGAAAAGACAGCTATAGTGTGGCAAGTTGCCATGCAAAATTGGCAACACAAAATCCAGGAACATTTTAAAAATACACAACAGGTGGAGATATGTACCCTAATGTTGGCTTTACAAACTTTTCCTCACCAAGACATAAATGTAGTTAGTGATTCTGCTTACGTGGTGTATAGTATTACTCATTTAAATGTTGCACATGTGAAAGGCATTACTAATGATCTCTACTAGCTTTGTTTCTTACAGCGAAAGAGCTCCTCTGTGCCCATTGTCACCATCTTTACATCACACATATTCACTTTCATTCTAGGTTACCTGGTCCTTTATTGAAAGGGAGTGGTCAAGCTGATGCTCTGGTATGACCACAAATGTGGTTTGCAGACTTGCCTGCTTTTTTGCAAGCTCAAGCTGATCATGCCTTTTATCATCAGAATGTCTGCCGTCTTAAACAACGCTTTCATTTACCACTTGCTCAAGTTCACATAATTATTAAAACTAGTTCTGATTGACAACAGCGTTCTCGCTCTCCTTTTTCCTTAAAGTTTAGTGCCAACCAACGAGGTCTGGTGCCTAATGCTGTCTAGCAAACTAACGTTAGTCAGTATCCACCTTTCAAACATTTCAAATTTCTCCACGTTACCGTGGACACTTATACAAGCTTAATACATGCTACCCCTCTGAACTAAAGATGCAATTGCTCATTTGTTTGGATCTATTATAACTTTAGGTCTTCTACAAAAACTGATAATGGAATTTACTATCTTAGTGCTCAACTTACACATGCATTGCCACTTGAACACATAGAATACAAAACTGGTATTTCCTATAGCTCACCCGGTTAGGCCATTGTTAAATGAGCTCATCAAACACTTAAAATATATCTTAATAAACAAAAAATGGGGAATTTGGGGCTCTCTTCTTGAGAACATAACTTGTCATTGGAGAATCGACCAGCAATGACGGTAATGACTCAGAAGTCATCTGACATCACTTGATTGAAGACAGCTAAAGAAATTGGATCAACAAGAAACTATCGAGCTTGCTGCCGTGGAAGCCATGCAGCTGCAGAGAAGTGCTTTCTTATGTATCTGGTGGTAACTGGGGAAACTTCTGAGAAAGTAAGATAGACGTGGATGTTAGGGTGGCTGGTAATTCTTGTCCTTTACCAAGTGGGATCGGCTCAAGAACGTGTTTATTGGAGTCATGTTCTAAACCCCCGTTTGTAATGTTATTACATGGTGGGATGCTGACCCGCCTTTGTCATCTAATGATACTTCTTGCACAGGTAGATAGATGCCCCTGTCTTACCCTTAACTGAAAATTTTAAGTGAATTAAACTTAATGATTCCTTGACTTTATTGTCTAGTTATCCCTCTCTTAGTTTTCTGGAATAGCACCTAGGTGTGTTACTCTCATTCCTCAGGAGTGTCTTTACTATCAGCCCAAAAGGATGCTAAACTTACAGATTTGACCTTTATTTCTGCTGTTACTACTAATCTTACTACGGTCTTTAATGAAGCTACATAAGTGCGTGATCTTCCCATATGCCATCTGAGTAGGGACTGACAATATAAGTTCGATGCCATCCATTGGGCCTCTCTATGATAATGGCACCTTACTTGATTGAGGTCCCCATGGTTATCTTATGCCTGCAAATCAGACTATTGGATTTGGGAGTCCCTCCAATAGTTCTATCACCTGGTCACAGTATGGACTTTGAGGGCCAATATTACAACTAAAATGGAAACCAGCTTTAAGCCCTGCTGATACTCAAATTTGGAGATAAGTACATCTCTTTTTTTGAACAAATTCTTTCACATGGTGAGTACATTATTAGTGGCAGCAACTATATCTTCTTTTTGCAGAATAATGTTACTGATATAGTCCTGATTTGTATTATCCACCCCTATATACTTCTGTAAGGTATTCCTAATATAGAGAAGAATCTATCCTTTTATAGTATTAAAGTCTCTTCCAGTAGGTGGTATGCTATGTGCTTGTTTCATCAAAATGTTACCCAGTTAAATATAACCTATGTCATAATTTTAAAATGGCGTGCAGAATTGTGGCTGCCTGTAAATTTAACCTGGAACTGGGAGGGAGATTCTACCTCGCAGTTATTCAGGAAAGCACATCTACAAGGGGCTTATTGTGACCATTTGTCTTCTCAAATTTCCACTTTTCAGTGTGAATTAAAGAATCAACTTGAAGAATGGTCGCAGCAATTACAAACAAGTACTTTTCGGCAATTATGAAAGGCTTCCAATGGTTAAACGTGAACACTTGGTTGTCTGGGTTAACCATACACATTTGGGTGATGGCTGCTATACTTACTCTTTTTTGCTAGGCATCTGCACATGACTCGGTGCTGCCACCCGACGCATCTATGACCAGGGAAGAACACTAGAAGCTTACCTTGCTTTGGATGACCAGCATGCTCTAAGAATTAAAGAAGGAGGAGATGTGGGGGGTGCACGGCAACTTAAGTCTTATGTACATATCATTTGAGGTCAGGGCATAGAAAAATACTGAGGCACTGTGTGTATGTTATTTGTGCATGGGAATGAAACTCCTTGACCCTGAAAACAGGACAGGGAGTGGAGTGTGTGGTGTGATAAGGAATGCTGAAAACAGCCTCCTGAGAATGCAGTTTGAGTGTGTACAAGGTCACAGATGCCTCAGTAACCCACCTCAAATGACCATCTAGTGGATGTTTGTAGTTAATACAAGCCCTTTCAATAAATATTTGGTGGACAGATGCTGGGGCGGACTCTCTAGGAAGAGCTATCCCCTGTCCCTGCTCAGCTGGAACTCTGTGAGTACTTTGTTCTTGGCATTCACTGCAAGTTATAAGCTCTGCAATGAGGAAAATTTTTCTGATTAAAAAATAGTAATTAGAAAATTCTTCATGTATTGGAATGGAAAATTTATCTGAAATGAGCCTAAATGACAAATGCAAGATTCCAAATATTATGTTTACTATGCTAGCTTTCATGTTAAAATGAAGGGGAAAAATTAAAAATACCAATAATGTATTATATTTACATTTTATAGAACTTGAAAGGATACACAGCAATTACTGATGTTGTTACCTATGATGGGGGTAAACCAGGGAAAGAAGGGCCTATAATCTAAAGAGGCTTTAACTTTCTACCTTTAATGTACAGGATTTTGGAGCATTTTTCATGAAAAAGTATGAAAGAGAGTATGTACAGGTTTTCTTAACAAAGTGGAGAGATCCTACAAAGGAAAGAGAGTCACATATCCTACTAGACTTTGTAAACACAGGAATACACTGTGGCAAGTTATAAAGGATAAGTGATTTTACATATTAATCCAATTTCTCATCTTTGGAGGCAAATACAACATATTTTTAAATATTCAGCAGGTATTTAAAATATCTGATACAAGTGAAAAATAAATAAAAATAAATACATAAGAAAGTATATATTCAGGAATTGAATAAAACTTACAGTTAGGTTTAAGTTTACAGATAAATTTTCAGCAACTATTTAGGCCAGCTAAGTTTATTCACTGGGTTAAATTTCTCTAAGCTAGGAACAAAGGCTTTTAGATTAGATTGCAAAAAAGACACAAAGACAAAGCCAAACAGAACAATATATAGCAGGTAAAATTAACAAAAAAATCCAGAATGGCAAAATCAAAATCAATGCGCAGTCTATTAATCGATCACAGTCTATCAGGAATGAATTGCTCAACAGAGTACCAAACATATAAAAAATTATTTAAAATACAAGGAAAGCTGACTTTAGAGTGATACTTAAAATTAGTAGGAAAACATATAACAATATACTCTTCAAATGACTTGGGTTAAAGAGTAAATAAAAAGTTTCCATCTTGATTAAAGCTTTACTAAGAGATCTACAATGTAAAATAAGGCCTGTGTTATATATCAGGAGTAATTTTTCATCTATTTTTAAAATCTGTCTAAAAGTGACTTTTAACATCTTAACATTCTGTGTATGTTAAAATAGTTAACAGGGACCCTAAGAATCTGAAACAAATCTACCATTGAAGAACTGATAAATAAATTTGAAAATTATTAACTTTAATAAATTGTTCCTATGTCCAATGTTCCCTGGAGTCCTTTGAAAAAAATTTATGAGGAGTTGAAACATAAAATCTAGTTAGCCTCATAACTACCATTCTTTGAAGACACTATATTCAAGACTCTTAGATATGTTAAATACATATCAATTATGTATACATATATGTATGTATATACACATAAAATAGGGTATTAAAACTTTGAATATTGAATGATTTCGTTTCTGCCTTAAGTCAGTATTTCCCACACATGATTTACATTGACATTGATTTGTATTATGTAATAATACCCATTATAAACATGAAGAAAGAGTTTCTGAGAAGGGAGGAACTTCCTCAGTGATAGGCTACCTAGGAGGTGATGGAACCGACATTTGAGTTGAAGAAGAGAAACTGAGTTAAATAATGTGCCACATGATTATCTATAATTTTTGTGATTTTGAATTATAATGTATTATAAAAATTATCAGTACTTCTCTTTACCTTACAGTAAAAGGTAGAACTTTCTTTTTCACGGACTTCGGCTTTTTATTTGGATATTTCTTTTGATCTTGTTTTATTGATGATTTCTTCAAAGGAAGAACACAGGCATCAAATGGGGGAAAGAAGAGTTTGGAAAGAGTGCTGGTAATCCTCCACCCAATATATTTGGAGAAAACTTCTTCTCTTACATTTGATGAAATTTTTGTACTGTACCTAGTGAAAGGATCTGTTGGATCATTTAACTCAGCCTGTTGAAAGAAAAGAGAAAGGAATCAGTTGAAACAGGATTAAATAGGATTTAAAAAATCATGTATTATTAAATTTTTTAAAAGTATGTTTATTTACTTTGAGTAATATTGCATTCTTCCTGTTAAAAATAGTCTTTATAAGAAAAAAATGCAGTTTTCCAAAAGATTTCAAAAATCATAACAACAAACTTTCAGTGAAATAAGTAAACATTAATGCATTCAGTCTTAAAATTTTGAAAATTGTATAATTTTTATTTTAAATTTGGTATACTTGCCATGTAAGAATTTCATAAGCATTCTGAAATTTCATTTAATAAGAAATTAAGCAATCAGTTGAAGTAATGCACATTTTATTAAATGGGACTTTTATTTTTTATGCACAACCTAAACTCTTCTTGATATCAACAGAGCATTTATTTTTCTTTCTTTTTTGAGATGGAGTCTCCCTCTGCCACCCAGGCTGCAGTGCGATGGTGCAATCTTGGCTCACTGCAACCTCTAATTCCCAGGTATGAGTGATTCTCCTATCTCAGCCTCCCAAGTAGCTGAGATTACAGGTGTGCACCATCATGCCTGACTATTTTTTGTTATTTTTAGTAAAGATGGGATTTCATCATGTTGGCCAGGCTGGTCTCAAACTCCTGATCTCAGGTGATCCGCCTGCCTCAGTCTCCCAAAGTGCTGGAATTACAGGCGTGAGCCACCACATCTGGCCAAATAGAACATTTTTATAAAGCAAAAATTGTAAGTGAAAAGCAAATAAGAGCTTTGCATTTTGCTTAAATTGAAGATGTTTTAGATTTTGATTTTGATTATATTGAATATGTTCTAACACCAAAAACTAAAAAGAATATAACAATTTTCCATCACTTAAGCAATATTTATTCAGGAAAGAGCTATTTTCTGAAATTTCCTATTTATGTTTGATAATGTTCAGGACTAATTTTTAATTACTTCTTTTAAAATGGCCAGAGGCATGTTTTTCTTGGCTGGAATCAGTAATAATAAATGAAAATGTAAGTAAAATGGCATATGTTACAATTTTTTTATTTTCACAATATGTTCATACTGTTAACTCCTTTTCTTGTAAATAAGTTGGATGCTTCCTTTTTTCATTTTTTTTTTACAATTTCATTGAGTATTATCTGTCTTCAGGGAGCTCATTACCAGTCACTCAGGATTTATTTCAGATGCATATCAATCTTGTGAGAGGAAAGATAAGAACAGAAAATGTTTTCTGTATATCAACATCTAACTTAACCTCTTTTGGGTTCTAAAATTAGGCCTGGTTCAATTAAATTACTGCTGAAAGATTATTGAATTATTTAGACAGAATTATAGTGCAAATGCAAAAAATGAGTATAGTCTCAGGATATAGACTGAAAGAAAAACAGTTAAAGCAATGAGAAAAATAGCAAAAGGCAGGTATGCAAATATGTGTTATCTTGAAAGTCATAGAGGATGAGAAACAGTGACATGAAAATAAAAATACTGAAAAAGGATAAGGTGAAAAATCACACAAGTAAGCAAGCATATGATTCAGTAATCCCACTACTGGGTATAAACAAAAGAAAATCAGTATGTCAAAGAGAGAGCTGCACGGTCATGTTTATTGCAACATTACTCTTAACAGCCAAGCTGTAAAATCAAGCTAAGTGTCCATCAATCGATGAGTGGATAAACAAAATGTGGTATATATACACAATGGGATAGTATTCAGCTATAAAAATAGAAGAAAATTCTGTCATTTTTAACAACATGGATGAACCTGGGGGACATCCTGCTAAGTGAAATAAACCAGGCACACAAAGACAAATATCACATGATCTCACTTATCTGTAGAATCTAAAACGTTTATCTCATAGAAGTACAGTAGGTTGGTGTTTACCAGGGGCTGAGGGGTGAAGGGCTGGGGAGATGTTGGTCAAAAGATTTCAGTTAGATAGGAGAAATAAATTCGAGAAATCTAATGTACAACATGCTGACTACAGTTAATGCAAATACATCATATCTTGAAAAATGCTGAGAGCAGACTGTGTTCTCAACAGAAATAATAAAAATGTGCGCTTACGCATTTGTTAATTAGCTCAATTTGACCATTTCACAATGTATATATATTTAAAACGTCATAAGGAGGGAATGTGTTCTCTTCCTGGGTCCACAAGGGGGCGTAGTTTTAAGGGCAAAAACTTCCCAGTGCCATGCCCCCCCACCCCCGCCATATCTCTCCATCCTGGAGATGGTACAATCTCTGTTTAATTTTTGTGGGCGTGAGAAAAGGTCACAAGTCAATCACTCCAGCGGAAGTTTAAAGGAACTCTTTTCATTAGTGGATGACGGGGGTGGATTGGAAAAGGTGGGAATTCCTCCCAGGTTAAAACTCCCTGTCTCCCTCATCAAGGCAGATTTCCCCTCTGGGGTCCCCTTCCACACAGTCTCTCGTGGAAGCTTTCTTTCTTCCTCTCCTTTTTCTCTTTCTCTACCTAAATAAATCACTTTCTGCAAATGCTTTTAGGGTCCAGTATTTACTTTACAAGTGCACCCATTGTGGTCCCTTCTCCCATTCTTGAGAGTAGGAAACCAAAAGCCTGGAGCCCACTGGGGATCAAGCTAAGGGCTCCCACATACTCCAAAACTTGCCTGCAATGTTTCACACAATAAATGTATACAATTTTATTCTTCAGTGTAGAAAAATTTTTAAAGGTTAAAAAATAGTGACGCCACCAAAAAAGAGCTCCTCCTTTCTTTACTCAACAGTATTGCACAAATTAAGATATTACAGTGAGCTCTAGATTTACTAAGACAGTTATGAATGAATAAATGAATGACTAAACAGACGAACCAAAACAAAGTGATGTTTTCTCATGATATAATTTCTGGTAAAATACATCGTAATCAAAGATAACATTACCCTGTAAGGCAGGAGAATAGGATCTGGAGAAAGGGAACCTAAAGCCAATTCACACTGACTTCTTAGAACTAAATCAAAATAAAAATCCCAACTTTCCTTGCCAAAGTTAGAAAAGGAACAGAAGCTACTCTCCTTGCAACCTCTGCTTTTCTGTGTGGCAAATAAAAACTGAAAGTACCTCTGGTTGGTCCTTTTCCATAACCAATCAGACTGACAGCAGATTAAGTAATTATTTGCATAGGACTTTGGATCTCGGATTTCTGTTTCTCCTTTCCCCTTTTCCTTTCTATTCCATACAGGGGAGTCTTTGTTTTCTCTCTCTTCCTTTCCAATTTGGGATCCTTGGTGTGCAATGCCTAAACACAGAGCGTACTGCATGTTTCTGGCTTGGGTCGATCTCTGGAGAAACTAAAAGGTTTCCATGTGGAAGCACTTGACTGCCACCAGTGGGTTCGAGTAAGGGACCTGAGTCCTTTTACTTTTTTTTCTTTTTTAGTATTTCAGCAGCTGTTTCCTAGTAGCTTCTCCTAGTAGCATGGCAGGTATTCATAAAAGAGAAGTTATGCAGGAACTGATTTACAATCTAATGTGAATTTCTTGTCTAAATTTAGAAAGTAGAGGGATTGCTTTAAGTGGGCTAGAAAAACCTTAAGGAAATCTCATAATGGGTCATCAGTGGTGGAGGGAACCATTCCAAAGAAGCGCCAGCCCTCATCTAAGGTCAGAGATGTCTGACAGACCAAGACAGGGCCCAAATGGTGAATGCCCCTGGGGACTCCAGTCGGGCCAGAATTTTTCCAGGACGATGTCTCTGGCATCACTTGGGTCAGTTGATAAACCCTTCACTCTTTAAAGTCCTACTCTCTTTTCCAGACCACTATGGGCAATTCTCCATCTATTCCACCTGATTCCCTACTTGGCTGCATCCTCCACCATAGGAATCAATTTGACCCTGATAATCTAAAGAGAAAACATATTTTTTTTTTCTGCAACACTGTTTGGCCCCAATATGAGGTGCCCAGACTGAAACAATGCGCAGTCAATGGTAGTCTTAATTATGACACCATCCTGCAATCAGACCTATTTTGCAAGATGCAGGTCAAATGGTCAGAAATCCCTTATATACAGATCTTCACGATCCTATACCAAAACCTACGATCTGCAAAACTCCCAGAACCAGCCCCTTAAAAGAAAGTCTGTCTCTCAGTATGAACAGCAACTGCCTCCATACAGCCCCTTGCCAAGTGCTCTTGAGACTAAACCCCAAACACTAGGAACCCTACTAAGTCCCCCTCACACTGGAAGGGGAACACTGTATTTAACTCTCCCTCCAGCCCTGCTACTCCTTAGGGAAGTAGCAGTAGCTGAGGAGCCAGTACCAGTGCAGGTCCCCTTCTCTATAACTGATATACAACAATATAAGGAAAAGCTAGAAAGCTATTTCAAGAATCCCAGGAAATTTTCAGAAGCTTTTCAAACTTTGGCCTTAGCCTTTGTTCTCTCATGGAGATATATTCAATTTATTCTAGCAACCTGTTGCATCCCCTTGGAAAAAAGATAAAACATTTGAGGCCACTCATGGGGAAGCAGATGATTTATTCACTTAAAGCCCTCACGGCAATCACTTGGGCCCAAATACAGTCTCCGCTATTGATCCTAATTGGGACTATAACACCCCCATGGGAATGAACAACTGGGCTGAATTTCTTGAGGCTTTTCTTGGAGGAATGAGATTGGGAATCACTAAGGTAGTAAATAATGATAAATTTTAAAAAGTAACACAAGCCAAGAAGGAAAATCCAGTCACGTTTTATGGCAGGCTGGAGGAAGCCTTTACAAAATATGCTAACTCTGGACTCTTCCTTTTCCAAAGGCAAAATATTAATGGCACAGCATCTGATTACCCAATCTACCACAGATATTAGATTTAAGTTTAAAAGCTACTGATGCAGCCACAAACTAATCAAAATCAGGTTTTGATACTGCTTTTATGGTATGTAACAATCGTGACCTGGAAGAAGAAAACTAGGAACAGAGTAAAGAAAGATGGTAGACCAAAATTACGGCAGCCATCTTTGGCAATGCCCTG